CTTTCTCTTCGGTGCTCTATTGAACGATCTAACAATCGAACAATAAAAAAGATGACGCGCCTATCAACAGCTGACTTCAAAAACCAACTGATAACCAACTTCTACAATGTTAATTCGAAAAGTATTAAGAAAAACAAACAAATATAACAGATTGAACCTTTAAAAATATGACGCTCAGTAACCAACATTTTATTATTCACCGTACACTGCAAGTGAACTGAACAGCTAAAAAAATGCAAAACCAAAGAAACTATACCAAAAGATTGACGTGCATACAAAGACACTGCATTGTGAAAATCTAAGCTTGCCCTTCAAGTGTTATGGTGCAACAAAGCAGCAAAAACAAAAAAAGAACAAAAAAAGCAACAGAAAAGAATTAAGAGAACTTAAGTTAAAAACAAAAAATGCATTTTGTTCCTTGTCAGAAATAAGCTTTTTACTCAATTTAACTCCTCTAGTAGTCTGTGTAATCAAAATACAGCTCTACCTCACCGTATTTCATACACTAAGACTTTGGCAACTGCTAACAGTTCTCAGTTGATAAACCTAGAAAACTCCATTTGCACCATTTCGAAACACATACAACATTACACTGATATATAACGGTAGCAGATTAGCTTTACAAACCTGAAGGTTCTTCATGACCGTAAACTCCTGGACCAGAAGTCCCTTCTTCTTCATCCATGGGTTCGCTAACAATGTACTCATCTTCTGGGGTTGCCCTCATTACATGACTCGTCTCAACCGTTGTTTTTACAACAGTCCCATCATCTGTCTCAATTTGTTCACGAACAACACGGTGAAATTCTTTCGCCGGCTTCGTACTGTCGGCATTAGAATAGACCGTTGTAACATCTTCATGCGGAAGTTCATGTGCATACGATAACAACTGAGGTTTTTCTATATTAGAGTCCCCTTGGTCAGAAACTCTCCGAAAATCATCTCTGACGCCCTAAAAGCATTATTATCGAAAAAAACTTGGAAAACTCCAAAAATTCCCCCCCCCCTTTGAAGAACATAAAAATAAAAACAAAAAAATCCAACGCGCGTCGGACCTGAATTTGCACATCGTCCTGGGCTTCTTGTAACATTCTGTTCCACTTTTCTCGCTCTTCATCATTAAGCGGGACAGTATGGTCAGTGACTTCTTCGTTTATAGGAATATCATCTTCATAAGTTGTTATTATCGTACGTTCTTCAACTACAGGCCCTAAAAAAAAAAA